GGGTGCGGGTGCGGGTGCGGGTGCCAATGAGACCGCCGGAACAGGTGTTGGTTTCAGGCGTTATGACTTCACCTTTCTATTTATCGGTGTGCCTGTGTGTGTTTAATGAGAAGTTTGTATACGTCTTTGTTTGTTTGCTGTTTCATCTAAGCTTCTGTTCTTTCCTTTTCTTTTTCATTTTTCTTTTGTTGGTTTTGCGTGTGTATTATCTCTTGTGTCACGCAAAAAAAAAAAAAAAGTTGAGTTAGTGTCAATTATTTACTGTTTTCATCTCGATCTTGCCGATGTCAAAGCTTTCGCTTCTGCACCATGTTACACTTCCCCGACGCCAGTTGTTGCTTGTGGTGATGGACGGCGTGGGTATTGGCCCCAGCGACGAGTACGACGCGGTCCACTTGGCGAAGACACCTTTTATTGACTCGCACCGCGCCGACGCAAAACACTTTCGTTCCGTCTGCGCCCATGGCACTTCCGTGGGACTCCCTACTGACGCAGATATGGGCAACAGTGAGGTGGGGCACAATGCCCTTGGCGCAGGCCGCGTTGCGTTGCAGGGTGCCTCGCTTGTTGATGAAGCCCTCAAAAGCGGTGAGATATTCACTAGCGATGGCTATCGTTACCTCAACGGTGCCTTCTCGCAGCCAGGACGCACTCTTCATCTCATCGGATTGTTAAGCGACGGTGGTGTCCACTCCCGCGACAACCAACTTTACGAAATCATCAAACATGCCAGTGTGAGTGGAGCAACACGTATCCGCGTGCACGTCCTCTATGACGGCCGTGACGTCCCTGATAAAAGCTCATTTAAGTTTACGGATGACCTGGAGGCTGTCCTTGCAGAGGCCCGTAAAAAGGGTTGTGATGCCCGCATTGCAAGTGGTGGTGGCCGCATGTTCGTCACAATGGATCGTTACGAGGCGGACTGGTCTGTGGTCGAACGTGGCTGGAAGGCGCAGGTGTTGGGTGAGGCGCGGGCCTTTGCCTCTGCTAAAGAGGCCATCACAACTTTCCGCTCTGAGGACCCAAATGTTACGGATCAGTACTACCCGCCGTTTGTCGTCAGTGATGCAAACGGCAAGGCGCTGGGTCCCATTGAAGATGGGGATGCCGTGCTCTGCTTCAACTTTCGCGGCGACCGTGTCATTGAAATGTCGCGGGCCTTCGAAGAGGAGGAGTTTGACAAGTTTGATCGTGTGCGCGTTCCCAAGGTGCGCTACGCTGGCATGATGCGCTACGACGGAGATTTGGGTATTCCCAATAATTTTTTGGTGCCGCCGCCCCGCCTTTTGCGGACGAGCGAGGAGTATCTTGTTGGCTCTGGATGCCACATTTTCGCCTGTTCCGAGACACAAAAGTTTGGCCACGTGACGTACTTCTGGAACGGCAACCGCAGCGGCAAGTTGGATGAGGAGCACGAGACGTTTTTTGAGATTCCCAGCGATCGTGTGCAGTTCAATGAGAAACCTCTCATGAAGAGCAAAGAAATCACTGATGCGGCAATTGAGGCATTGAAGAGCGGTAAATACGATGTAGTTCGCATTAACTTTCCTAATGGAGATATGGTGGGACACACTGGTGACCTCGCGGCGACGATTATTGGCGTAGAGGCAGTGGATGCGTCCCTACAGCGGCTGAAGGAGGCTGTTGACGCTGTTAACGGTGTGTACCTTATTACCGCGGACCACGGCAACTCCGACGACATGGCGCAGCGCGACAAGAAGGGTAAGCCGATTGTGGGCGCGGACGGGAAGGTCCTCCCCCTTACCTCGCATACGCTGGCGCCCGTTCCTGTGTTTATTGGTGGCGCCGGGCTGGATCCACGTGTGGGGATGCGCACGGACCTTCCAAGGGCTGGGCTGGCAAATTTGACAGCAACCTTCCTCAACCTGATGGGCTTCATGGCGCCGGAGGACTACGAGCCATCGCTCATCGAGATATCCCCGAGCTAAACAGTGATACCGAGTCCAACCAACCAACCTCAAGCATACGAAAAAAAAAAGGCGGGGGGGGGGAGGGGGTTCCAACGTTATTGCGAGAGCTGAGGAATGCTGTTGACGGTAGTATATTATTGCATAGCAACATTGTGCGATATGGGCAAGCAAAAGAATCATAAAGGTGCAAAGGTGGAAGAAAAAAAAAAAGCAAAGCAGGGAAGAAGGATTAAGAACAATGGAACAGGGCACGAGAGGGCGTAAGCGCAGGCCGACTGAAGAGGTAAGCAATGGAATGCATAATGCATTTAAAGGAGGATAGTTAAGAGCAGGAGTGTCCTCGAGGACCAAAGAAATAGATTGTGAAGCGGTAAGAGGAAGAAAAGGCAGCGGGCCAGGCCCAGTCAGTAAAGAAAGAAGAAAAAGATATATATGAAAACTCTGGTGTGTAGTCAGAGGAAATATATTCTCCTTAGGAAAGCCAAGTAAGAAGTTAGTTGGTATTTTTTAAAGTGCAGCCACGTCTTAATTGTGTTGTGTATGTGCGTCTTTTTTTGTAAAAACTTTAACTGAAGCGGTAAAGTACTGATTGTCGCTGCCTATAACCCCACTTTACACCTCCTCCAACAAATTGGTCCTCGCTACATTTACAGGTGTCTTCTTTGCTGTTGACGGCGTGATTCTCGCTGTTTCTGGTGTTGCTTCTATTAGCGCTTTCTCCCCCTCTCCCATTGTATCTCTGAGTGTTTTTTTTTCCTTTTTTTTAATTTTTTCTTTTGGGTCTTGATGCGTATCTGTGCAACTTGGATTACGGCAACACAAAGGCGTCTGCTCAAGCTATTATTAAACTTACATTACGTTTCATGGGTTTGTCAAAAGTTCCGTCAGGAGCTGACAAGGTCCCGTACAGCAATGTTGTTCGTGGGGGGCAGTTGACGTCTCAGCGGCGCGGCTGGCGTTTGCCACACGCCACCTACATGATGCTCCCTGCAGCTCTCATATTTGCCTTCGGGGGATTCTGTTTCACATATTGGTGGAACGACAAGAGGGCGAAGGAGGGGCCGTGTATCGACTGCAAGCGTCAGCAGGAGATAATGGAGAAAATGTACATGCAGAAGCCAGCTGTCCAGAAGGGGTATAGGTTGTAGTTGTGCAACGACACTCTCGCGCGTGTGGCATTGTGCTAGGTAAGGAGGCTCCCTTGTTGTTGCGTTGTTTATTCCCGCATTGAGCATCTTACAGGGGTGGTATGTTGAGTGGCGGTTGTGGGACCAGTCGCATGTTCACACCGTTGCAGCTTCGTTTCTTCTTTTTTTTTTTTTTTTCCTGTTGCCGCTGGGCATCTGTGAAAAACCCCAGGACCCCCCTTTTTTGGCTTGTTCTTTTGGGAGGACGCTGGGTTCTCTCCGTAGATGATGGGTGACTCTCTCATCGCTCAGCTCGAGCAGGACTTTCGTGCCATTGAGCAGATGGACCCATCGCTCGCGGATGGCTTCAAAATTGTGTACGACCGCGAGGTGCCCTGTGAGATGCGCGCGACGCGTGGCGGGGATGCCGGGTCCGGGACACTAGAGGGAATGAGGGTGAAGGTGCTTTCCCTCGGCGACGATCATAGCCTCTCCACTATGCGCATTGAGGTAACGAGTGAGTCCGATCTTTTCTTCCATTATACGTGCGTCATCAACCACGCCGGCTTCCTTCGGCTGCGTGAACACCAAAGTCTTATTTGCGACTTCCCTGACTTTCTGATGACCCTATTGAAGATGTTCAACCGCTGCATTAGAGAGCCGCAGCGGTTTCTTACTGTGCTGCTATTAGACGAAAACGGGACGGCCAACATGGAGTTTATAGAAAATCTCGAGTACAAGCTGGTTGGGGTGTTGACGCTGCCATTCCGCGCCTCCCCGCCGGAGGTAGTGCGGGAGCAGATTGGTTACCGTTACAGTGCCGTGCGCGCGCGACTGGCGCTGCTCACCGCCCAGCTGAAGAAGTCCAACCTTGTGCTGAAGCCACAGGAGTAGCTGAGCACAGCGGGGGGAGGCCCAATGCATATATATGTGTGTCGAGATGATGCGAGGATGAGAAGAAAGGGAACAAAAGAGAAGCAAATCTGGGAACCGGAACTCAAGGAATGTATGAGTACAAGAGAAGAAGGGGGAAAAGAAAAAAAAACGCAGAACAAAAAGAAGCATCACGCGAGAAATATATGTGGGTCTTGTTGCTGGTTCGATTGTTATCGATGTACCTTGTCGAGAAGAATGAGAGGAAGAATGCCGACTTTCGTGTAGATGAAGTAGCAGTGTCATCCTGCTGCTTTAAAATATACCTCGCTTCATCGCGTATTCACCTTTGTTTTTTGTTATGGAGAAAATAATTTTTTTTTGAAGTCAGTGCTGTTTTGTTTTCATCATGCGTGTGTTTTTCCCCCTTTTCTTTTTTTAATTGTTTCCGTTCCCTGTCATGATGTAGAGCTAGGCATACGTGCAGATGCGACGTAGTGGTGTGTCCTGCGCGATGGCGGGCCACGTGACCAGAGCACTGACGCTTCCTCTGCTGCTTGACACCATTCGCCGCGACCCGGGCATGACAGCGGCTTACTATGCCAACCGTTATTTTGGCAAGGAACGTCAGATGGAGGTGACGCGGGTGCTGTGGGGCGAGCTGAAGCTCTACGGACAAGTAACCATTGACCGTATTGATGGACCAGAGGCACCGCCGCGGTGGTATCCGGTGTTCTACATGCCGCGTAAGATCCACAAGATTCGACGACACTGTGCCGAGGAAGAGGACCTCAGTGTTCTGCAGCAAGACACCGTCGCGGAAACCGGTGAGTCGCCTGTGGCGCAGGAGGAGACTGCTTCAATGGCGGCATCTGTAGAAAATAGTATTGTTGCTCTTGTTCAGCAATTTCCAGGGCATGACATACAGTTTTATATTGGTGAACTTTCTGCGGTGATGCAGCCGCGTGCCCCGATGGCGTTCAGGCGACTCCGTGAGGCGGGGCTGTTAACTAGAGAGCAGACACCACATGGCACGTTCGTCTGGAGATGACGGCTTCAGGTTTGTGTTTGTGTGACCCTTGTTGTTACTGGCATAGTCAGTGGTTTGTGTGTTGTCATGCTGTAAGGCAAGGCGTCGATGGAAGAGCAGAACGTACTTGTGTGAGTCTTCTTGTTCGTTATCATTTTGCTTGATCATTATTTAGCATGTGTAGTGCAGGGTAAAACGCACATATCAGTAAGGATAATAGGATCAAATGTTTGTTCCAGCACAAAGAGATGTGGGAGAGTTCGGAAGTTGTTCAACCCGTTTATTTTGCTTCTGTGCACGCTATCTACCTCTACTGATGTACGGAGTGGCCGCGGCACTGTTGCTGTACCTCATCGTTGGTAAAAATGCCGTAGCCAAGGTGAATACTGTGGGGAGCGCTCTCCTTTTCTGCTTTCTCTTCGCCCGCACACTTCGCGGCACTCTGCATTTTTTATGGCAAGGCCGTGGAAGATTGACGTTCGCTCGCGTTGTGAATTGTGTCGCACTGCGGGCTCCTGCGGGACTTAGGGGGCAAAGTGCTGTTTACATGAGTTTTGCAGATTTTTTTCTTCTCCCACTTTGTATTGCGGTCTCTGCTTTTCGCCATGTGAAGACCCTTGCGCATATTACTTTCATACTTCGCTCCCATTGCGTGGTACTTGTCTGGCTCGCCTGGGTCTTTCTACTGGGCGGAGTGCTGCTCAACATCCTCCATTGGTGTGTTATTCTTCCAATGGGTCGTAGCGATCCGCATCGCTTCATGCATGGAATAGGAATTGTCCCACGTATCCTCGCTTTTTTGGCCACGTGGATGGGGATTCCAACACTCTCCGTGCTAAGTGTCATGCTTCCCTGCGATGGAGAGGCAATGTCTTTTGTTGTCGACGCAAGGTGTTTGTCCTCGTTCCATCGTTGGTGCATTGTGATTGGGGGTCTTGTCTTTCTCCTATACTTCTTTTCACAGGACGTTGCATTGGGTGTGCTCGAGCATTGCGGGGACACGGATTCTGACGATCGTCGTTGTGATGGGCTGATGTTGCAGTTCATGATGTTTCATCGGTGCGCATATGTTTTTATTGCTGTCTTTGCAGACAAACCGGCTTGGTACGTTCTTGCCGGGACCCTGTCTACTTTTTTACTACTACTGATGTCAAGAACCTTTTTTGCGTCTGCAAGACTACTGAATGATCTGACATGCGTGTCCTTGCTGCAGTGTCTGGTGGGATCTTTATGCTGCTCGCTGACCTATGTTATGGATCCCAGCTCCGCCGCTTGGCTGTGGATGTGTTTCTCGCTGTTGAGTGGGGGGCTGCTTGTTGCGTTGCTCTTTCATCGTAATGGAATGCACCTCTTTGAGAGTGACAGCGAGGTGTGGATCCTTGGCATTTAGAGGGAACTGAGTGAGCTCCATGGTTGTTGATTGTTTTTATTTTTTGCTAAAGTTATTTTTTTTTTATTGGCTTTATTTTTTCCCTACTTTACTCGTGTGTTTGTCCTTTACCTTTTTTTTTCCGTGTGGGTGTAGTTGTTTTTTATTGTTCTCCCGCTGTCGTTCCTTCTCGCTTGTGCATGCTTTCTGAGTGTGTGTGTGCGTGTGTGTGTTTGTTTGGTGTGTCTTTTGTTGCTTTGCTCTCAACGGGAATGGGGGAACGATGAGTGCGATGCCACCACTCGTTGACGTTGCGTGGGACGTTGAGCCGCGTGTGAAGAACACCATAGAACCAAGTTTAGCTTCTGGGACCTCGGCAGTGACAAGGTCATGGTCCCACGTCGACCGTGCAACTCTCTTCGCAACGTTTGCCGCCACCTCCTTTGGGTACGCTTTCTTTGGTAACCCCCTGTTTCTTGCTGTGGCTAGGCAGCAGTGCAGCACGGCGCGGCTAACTGTACGGCAGGTGCTGCAGGAGGTCTACACGCAACATGGCTACCGGGGCCTCTTTCGCGGCGCCGGTGTGGCTGCCTCGGGAGCTGTCATTAGTGAACTCGTCTATTACCTCGTTGTGGAGTACGGAAAGGAAAATTTGCCGTTGCCAACAAAAGAGCAGCGAAGCCTCACTGCTGGCTTCGCTGCCGACTTCATCTCTGGACCTATCTTTAATCCATTCGCTGTGGTGTCGCAGGTGCAGATGGTGGCGGATTCTTGTGGCGGGGAGCACCGCTATGGGAACGGGTACCACACAACGCGGGTGGTGGTGGCGGAGCAGGGATGGCGTGTGCTGTTCCGTGGCACGCTCTTGACAATGGTGGTCTCTCCCTTTACCGGAGCATGGTGGCTTGTCTATGAGCTGCTAAAGCAGAGGTCGTACGGCCTTGTCTCGCGTGCCGCACCTTTATTGCGGGCTGTTACTCCTGATGAGGCGCGACAAAAACTGCCTGTTTGTTTCACCTCCACAAAGGACAACATTCTTGTCAACTGTGTTGTGGGGGCCTTGTCAAGCATAGTCATTGGTGTCCTGTTAAACCCGTTGTATGTCTTGCGGCTTCGGCTGCAGGTCATGAAAAAATTGCAGTGTGAACGCTTTCCATCGTTTTGGATAATGCGGAATATTCTTCGTGAAGAGGGTGTCCAGGCGTTTTTTAAGGGCTTGCGTGGAAACCTGTTTATGGCGGTCCTTGGTGGTTCTGCCTTTGGGATGACGTACGAGGGCGCGAAGCAGTTTTCGGATATCACGGAAGGTGGTTCTGTGGCTTTTAGCACGCAGGAGGTTGGGTCCAGATAACGTCTGCCCCCCCCCCCCCACACACACACACCAGCAGGTTGCAGGTGTTTCTTTTTGGCGATATGGCTGCCAGGGCTTGGAGGTTCTGCGAACACCGCTTGCACCCCTCAACCCACGGATTTCAACCTTGTGGAGGGCATCATTAGCGCTTGGCGTCCCCCGACGCGGCTGCGCGGCTCTGGGCCTCAGATCGGCTTAACTGTGTAACGAACGGCGGCAACCTGGAAGATTCGGAGTCGCGGAGGCGACTGTCGTCAGATTGTGTATTCTCTTTTTCCAGTTCCAGTTGAATGCATGGCTGCAGGAACTGGGAGGAGGAAGCCGGCGGATTGGAAGCAGCGCAAATGTTATTTTGGAGACCGATGGAGTGGAGGCAATGCAAAAAAAATGGAGTGGTCGATAGTTTATGCATACATGTATGCACGAATACAGCTGTATGCATGTCGCAAAGAAAAACAATTAATGGTTTCTAATGTAAACTGACAAGGCATTGCTTCTTCGTGCCGTTTTTTTTGAGTGTTTCTGGGAGGTGGAGGAAGAAGATGTTGGTATTCCTAAGATAAACAAACTTGTGAAAGAGTAATGTGAAGAGTATTAAATGGAAATTGGAGAGGGAGAAGCGGTGGAAGTGTGGAGGACTTACGTGGGAAACAACCAGCGACTTCTTCGCTTCCATTTCCCAGGTGTCAAGGCTTGGTTTGTTATTATTTCCTTACTGCGAGTACTACTAGCTCTAACCTGTGTTGCTTCTTGCTGACTGTGCTAAAGTCTCTCTGTGTTTGTCTGTGTGTGTGTGTGTGTGTGTGTGTATGTGTGTGTGTATGTGTGTGTGTGTGTGGGCGGAAGGAGGAGAATTGTGACTGACTTACTGCCCTTGTGTTTTCTTGTGGAACGCATTTTCTCCTAAGCCATTACTGAACCTTGGAGACGAAGGGAAATGACAATGTTGTATCATGGCTCGCACCCCGCACATCCATTGAGGGCCCTAAAAAACCCAAAGGCTGGTGTATTATGTTCCATCTGCAAGTCGTCTGCCCATCCCTCCATGGCGGAATGGCACATCTGCATGCACGAGAAGTGTGGATACATTCTCTGTTCCAAGTGCTCTGAAATCGACGAACAGATGCTTGATGTCCCGCAGGTCATCACACGGAACCCGGTGCTGGGACACGAGGACATGACTGTGTGCCTGCGCGCCCGTCCGTGTAGCACTGCCCAGATGTTATCCCCACTTTACTCCAGCCAGTTAATGGTTGCCGTTTCCAGTGCCAAAGGGACTGTCGATGCAAACGAGACGTATTATCGGGTGAAAGCGGGTGGATGGCTTAACGTTTCCCATGTTGTGCGTATCCTTCCATCGCAAAAACTTGTTAAGGAGCTTACCGAAAATCATTTGCGGGCCGATGAGCAACAATCTATTGAATTAATGGATCTGAAGGCCCTTTTTCTTTGCATCGACGAGAGCTTTAGGCTTATGGATGATCGTTCTCCGTACGGAACAGTCATGGCATCACTTACCTTCTTTCCATTGCTGCAGTACTCCTCAAGTATGCACTTGCTTTCGCCAGAAGACCGTATTGCCCTTCTCCGTGTGGCGCTGGGGTTGATTCATTACCTTTTTCACTTTGTACTAGATGAGGTCAGTGAATGGATGAGCAACGCGGAGTATAGAGTAAGGCTGACGCTGCTGACACTTTACGTGGAGCTTTTAGCAAAGTCGCTTCTTGTGGTACGTAACATGGCGGAAAGTCAAATTCTGGCGCTTCCTCACCGACTTGGCCCGCTCATAACACGGACCGCCGCGGTGGCGCTGAAGCTCATTCCAGTCGTTGAGTGTGGGCTGCCCCCATACGAAAATGTTACAGAATTGTTGCGTGCGCCATCTGTTGCCGGTCACCCGGTGAATGTCGAAGAAGGAAAGTCCCGTCTCTATTCTTATTGTTGCAATATGGTGGAAACGGCGGGGTGGTTGCTGTTGCATACACCCACCTTTACGTACGACCTCAAGGGTCTTCGCCCTCTCCGCGCAGCCGTCTCTATTGTCCCCAATTCGGAGAGTCTCGAGCGCATGCTTTGCTGCGTTGTGACCAACGCGCTGGAGAGAATGCCATCACTGCAGAGACGTGTTCATGAGCTGGATGTTATAGAAGTCGCCATTTCGCTTGCCAAAAGGGAGATAAGTGCTGAAAGTCAGATGGCGGTGTTTGGGCTTATTGCTGCTATTGCGCACAATTCGCCGAGTAACATCTCACAAATGGTGTCGTTTGTTATTGCACCATTGATTCATCTGGCCATGGAAGCCCGGAACACTGCAGTAGCTAATGCAGCTTTTGACTGTTTTGTGGAACTCACCCACAACGGCCGTCGACTGGATGACCCCCGAGCAAATTCACATAATGAGGAGTCAATGCTTTCACTGTGTTCTGCGGCCCTTTACCCGCAGGAGGCGTCATATCAGCTGATGAGCGTCTATGATGTTGGGGATCACCGACAGGCCATATGTGAGTTTTGCAGGCACTCCCACCCCCCTGTGGGTGGTGTACCGCTGTGTGACCCTCAATTCGCATACTTTAGATGCCAATGTCAGTCCTGCGCGTACGTACCAGCGCCGCATCCGCTTCCGCCATCAAATGTCCTGACAACACTGGCCATTCAAAAAATGCTGAAGGAAGGCATTATTATAGTCATGTTGTCTTGGCTCAAACGCAGAGAATTGGCCGTCGTCAACGCTGTTGGACGTTTGGCACTGAAGATCCCTGTCCCGGTGGAGGTGCCGCGCGCCCTTTACCGTGCGCTACTGGAGCAAAATCTCCTCGGATACGAAGATGCTGTGCTTGCCATAGCCGTCCAGTCGCACCTGCCCGTCGTGCGAGAGATGCAGCGGGATCACCCATCTGCCGCGATATCGCAGTACTTGTCACGCCTACCTGGATTCAGGGTTGCCGCCTTCGCCGAGGCAACGCCCGGCAAGGGCTCACAGTGTGAGGATGTTGATGGACTCACACCGTCGCCTGATGCCACTATGGAAAAAGATGGACTGTGCGAGCCGCTGCCGTATAGGGCATCGCTACCGCTCATCGGTCTTTTTGCCGGACCGCAATGAGTGTACCTGAACGTTGTTCTGTAGAACTGAAAGTTTTTGGTAGATGAGGAGAACGGCCGAAAGGCCAAAGGAGAGGGACGAAAACGGCGGAATAAAAAAAAAAAAATACATTGGTGCTGGGTAATCCATTGCCTTTGGAAGATGCAGTACGTTCAGGACCGAAACGAACGTCTTCCCAGACGTTCTGAACACATGTCTCCCGCATTTGCCTAGTCACGTTAGAATGGCATGCGCACATCTTCATAAAATGGATAGTGATGCACAAAAGAAGAAGAAGAGGCGCGGGTGTGAGGCTTGTGAGCACATTCCATGTGAACCTGACAACTTCCTCATCGCTATTTTTTTGTTGTTCTTTTCTCTTACATCTTTTCTCCCCTTCACGTACTTTTTTTTTTTTAATGATCTGCTGATACACTTTTGTTTGATGTGAGGGGTGATGGTTGTGACTTTTTTTGTTTTATTTGTCGTTTGTTTGAGAGACACGTGCGTGTTTCTGGATACGCTTTTGCCGCGGCGTGGATTTCTTCACGCCAAGCATTCACTTGTCTCTCCCATAGACGTGTTCAGCCATGATGTATTTGGAGATTATGGTTGGCGATAGAGGACAGCGCACGTCTCGTGTAACGGTGAAAAATGAGAAAGGGGAGAGAGGATCACGTTGACATAGAAAAAAAATAAAACAGGAACCATGAAAATGTTTTCGTATATGTCGGTAATAACACCTTTACCAGGACTGTGGCCACCTGTGCACCACATTCTCTCTCCTTTGCTCTCCCGCATTTTTTCCTTCATTTCTTCTCCAAGCATATGTAAGCAATACCGCCCAAGGCGGCGTGTGTTTGGTTTCTCATAGACGAGAGATAGAGAGAGAGAAGGAACCCAAGTGTGGCCTGAGATGAAGTCTTTTGTTTCTTCTACGTAGAAAAGGGAGAGACTAAATCAGGAAAAAAGGAATGCATATATGGAGGGAACCAGTGTGTGAGACATAACGAGTGAAGAGAGCCATGGGGGTATTGCCCTTGCGATTTGGCGAATAGATAGCAAGAGTGACGTGCTCGAGGCGCTCGGCCATGAATTCCTTTTGTTGTCACTTTTGTTTGATGAGGTATGTCGTGGTGGTGGTGTTTCAGTGCCTACGCCGTCGTGCTGTTGGCTTGTGGTTGTCCCCACCCGTCTTCCCACATGTGGCGTTTCCTTTTTTTTCTTTCTTTTTCCTTTTGGTAAAATGTTTGTTTTTTTTTCCTTTGTTTTTTATCTTGTTGTTTTCGTGTGCCCCTCTGCCGGATGGTTTTTTTTCTTTGTTTGTTTTTTTTTTGGCTTTGTTTTTCCTCTACTGCTGTAACCACGCGCATACACCCAACCCCACACTGCTGCGCACGGGAATAACGAAGCAAACAGAGGGAGAGGAGGCTGTATAGCAGGGGAAGAATGATGGTGCCGCTGGATGAGGAAAGGGAGCAGCGCATCGCCGAGCGACGACGTCGTGTGCAAGAGCGGTTGAAAAAGATGTCTGACATCAACAGTGACGTGCACGTAGCGGTGGGAGCTGACCATGGCATGGGCGGTCGCACAGGGTCAGGCGAGGCGAAGGGGATTGGCGAGGAATCCGTGCGCAATGCCCGTCGCGACATGGCTGAGGCACTCAGTTGTGCCCACAGCGCCGTGACCAGCTGGGAGGTGGAAGTTGGCAAGAACGAGAATGAGCGCCGCGTGCGTGAAGAGCGTCTCATAGATGAGAGACGTCAAAGGCGCCGTGAGGAGTTGGAGGCGAATGAAATAAAACAAGGTGCAATAGAGCTTAAGTTTGAGGCCATCCACAAAATCAACGCCCCGCATGAGCTCCAGAAGTCCCTTGAACAGCAGCAGCAGCAGTGCAAGGAACTGTTGGGTGCCAAGGACCGTCTCATTGAGGCTTTGCGCGGGCAGTTGGAGGAGCGCGAGGAGGAGTTTGTTGCGGCACTTAGGCGCAACACAGCGGATGTAAATAGCCTTGTTGCCGAAATGCGTGAGCAGACGGAGAGATACCTCGACGACTACACCAACAAGCTGCGGGAAGTAGAGGGGGCGTACGAAAAAGAGCGAATGGAGTACCTCTCGCACTGCGATGAGGAACTTCTGCAGCTTATGAAGCTGCGTCGTACGCGGGAGACAGAGTATCGCAAGAAGCGAGAGGACGAGATTGTGCAGGCGCAGCAAAAAATGGACGATAAACACCGCGAAAACTGTGAAGAGTACAATGAAATTAAGCGGGAACATCTAGAGGAAATTCATGCGCTCATGGAGGAGTTGGAACGGTGCAAGGCCGAGTTTCTCCTCAACGGCGAACGACTCAGTTACAACCTGCAGGTTCTCCGTGAGCGGGTCAAGGAAAACAAGAGTGCTCAGGCGATGCACAAGCGAAAACTGGCGCGGCTGCAGGACACACTTAGCTACCTTGTTGCACGCTACGCGGAGTCCGAGAAGAAGTACCAGCGCTCCAACAAAGATCTCACCGCTCAGCTTCACCGTGTGGCCAACCAGTACCGTGATTTGCAAAAAAAATTTCAAAGGTTTGAAAGGTCAGACAAGGAAAAGTACCAGCAAATTTGGGCCATGCATGAGGAGAAGAACATTCAGCTCGCATTCAAGTCTCTGCAGGCTGATCGTGTTCTCTTCGAGGAGATATTAGGGGTACCGTGGAATCCCCCGCAGCTAAACTACTGGCCCGAAGATGACGTGGCGGACACAGTGGAGGATAACGAGGAGGAGGCTGTGAGCAGCGATGACGAGATTGAGCTTTCGGAGGAGGCGCTTATGCTCCTCGCTCTTCTGCATAAGCAAGCGCCATTTATCTCTGACGAGACGGTGTATGCAGCAATCCGACAAGTGCAAGATGTCACAGAGGAGCGTGCCGTGGTGGAGTCCATTCTTTCGGCACTGCAGGTTCACAAGGACGAGGAGATGAGTGATCTGTTGGAGTATTTTATGGTGGATGGTCCCGACGAAACAAGGGCTCTTATTCGTCCGCAGGAGGCTGTCCGTGCACTTTCGACCTTTCTAACCGAACGACAGCGGGAGAGGAAGCAGCAGGAAGAGGGTCAGAAGGAATCGGCCAAGCGGAATAAAGAATTGACGCGGATGAAGTTAGAGGAGCGTCGGCGTGTCGCTGAAAAGGAGTACTGGTTGCGCATGGCGAGCTCAGTCCCAAAGGAGCACCAGCGAGTCTGGGGGGCACTTGAAAAAGGCCTCAAGCTGTACATTGCCCAACTTCAACAGCGTAAAACTCTGATTGAAGGCACCGATTCACTGCGCGCGCAGAATGCAGAACTGCGTGGGCTACTGATGCAGTACCTGCAAAGTGATGTGAACTACCAGCTTTACATTCCGCCAAAGCTCTTGCTGCAGGCTCGCGCTGCCTCCTAAAAAAAAAAAAAAATGTCTTTAATGAAGTGGCGTGTTGGCGCATACATCTTTATATAGTCCTATTAGTGTGTCTCTGTAGCTGACGGTGCAGAGTATGATGTTGGATGAATGAATGAATGAATGTAAAAGAAAAAAAACCCTCCAGGGAGAAGCATATATCTGTAAGGAAGGGTTGAAATGGACTCCTGTGTACGAGTTATATATATAGTGAGAGATGGGAGAAGAAAAGGGTTGGACAGAACAGGGGGGTGGGAATGCAATACACCTGCTGCAGTGGTTGAGTTTACTCTGCGAGATGAGTTGTATTTTTGTTGTTGTTGCTGCGGTTTTTCTTTCGTTTGGATTTTTTCTCGAAGAGAAAGGGTTAAAGTAGGAAAAGTGTACGGGAAGCCGGAGAGAGAGAGAAAGAGAATCCAAGGCGCTACACGTTTTTGTTTGTTTATTTGTTTTACATAGACATGGCGACACACCAACACAAGGCCCGGTGGTGCGCAAGGGCACTCAACAATGCTGCAGGGCCTCGGCCCCACGTCGTTCAACTGGCACGGCTCCATCCCCACCGCTCAGGCGGATACTCACTTCGAAGCAAACTTTTGTCATTTCGATTTTTTTCTTGACACACAAGCGATGCCGGATGAGGCGCTTGCCGAGCAGGTATACAAGGTGCCGGAGGGTGAATCTCACTGGCATCTTCGCACCTTCTGGGGGCAAAACCTCTGCTGCATGCCTGTTGTCATCACAAGTATACCCGGTGCTGGATTTGTCAATTTCTTTCACCCGATTTTTAAATCGTGCTTGAACTTCCATTCGGTGACCCTTTTGGAAGTGTTATGTTGTAATCTTTGCATGGAACAACCTCACAAAGTTTGTGGCGCGGGAACGTTACTTTCAACGTAATTTTCAAAGGAATCAGCTGTACTCGTTTGATGAGATGCGGGATCAGCGTGACAGACAGAGAGTGCGTGGAGCATTGTATGAGAAACAGTTTGTTAAGAACCCAATTGCAAAGTATCGTGTGAAGGCCTGGCAGGTAGCGGAGAGGTTTGCTTAGCAGTTTGGTGTTCCAGTTTTAAGTATGACAATGGTATTATGATGCTGAGCGTTGTTTCTGCAACTGATGACGTATGCTGATCAATTGCGATAGGTGCATGTTGGAGAACTCGGTGGAGGGGACGGAGACACTGTAGTGGCGGGGGGATGGGAAAATGGCAGGGAATATGAGGAAAAAGAAACTGGGGTAGAACAGGAGGTCGTGGCGGTAAAAGTATCAGTAGTTGTTGTCTGCATTGTGCATTAGTGTTGTATCGGTGTAAGTGTGAAGAATTTGTTGTTGTTGTTTTTTTTTATTTCCATCCCTCTGCTTGTGTGTGTTTGGTCCTTGCGTGGGTCAGACTCCAAGGGCGTGTTGATTTTACATGAGTGTTATGGTTGTCCCTGAAACCGTGTCCGCCCTCGTTTCCGTTGGTGGTGTTTTTTTTTCTTCCCTTTCTTTTTGCCTTTTTTTCTTCTGCCTCAATCCCCACTACGCCGGTGTGACGAAAGGAATAGACTTCACGAGAGACAAGAGGGCCACCATGTCAGCCTCCGCCTCCGTCTCGTCCTGCGCAAACAAACGAGATGTACTCAATCGTGTCAAGGAAGTGCTTGAGACGTACGTCAAGTCGGGCGTGATTGACCGAGAGGACTTTAAGGATCTAGCAAAGAAGTCGGCAGAGGCGATTGTTCCGCCGGTGGTCGTGGGGGAAGTTGATCGAATCACACGGCGGCGGCTGGTGACATTTCTGGAGGAGAACGGCGCGGGAGAGGCAGTGATCGCCTCAATTTGGGAGGGGGAGAAGGCGAAAGTGGAGGAGGAGAAGGTAGCAAAGGAGGGCACGCCAGAGCCGTCCAAGACGTCAACTGTGGGAATGGGATTTTCGCTTACCGCACTGCGGGCGCGGATGATGAAAAAAAAAGAGGAGCTTCGGAGGCAGCGGGAAGAAACAACGATGACGGTGGAGCAAGTGCTGCGGGGTGATGCACCCACCGTAACGGCAAGCGGTGCCCCGAGTCTGTCGCATGGGGACACGCTCTGCGACAGTGCGGTGGCGGAGGAGGAGGAACCACCTACCCGCAGGTATAAGACGGAGTCCCAAGCACCGTTGCCGTTGCCCTCATTGCAAGAAGTTGACCTTTACGCAGATTTTGAAAGCATTCCCTCCGGATGGCGCACGCAACTGCAGCCCATGTCCATGTAATGCCGAGGTTTGACGCATGCAAAATATATATATATATATATATTGCACATACACACAGAAAATCCCTAGAGATGAAAGGGATTACTAATGCCTTTTTCCCCCTTTGTGTAGACTATTGGCGAAGTGAGAGCAGGTGGGTGTGGAGAAATGCAGAGCACACACTCAACCCCCCTCCCCTTCTCCTCGCCCCACCCCTTTTTACCTCTTCTCTTTAATGGGTGGAGTTGGGGGAAGGGGGATCGCCAGACTGTGTGTGAATGATGTCCCCTCCATTTTTTTGTTTGTGGAGTCCGCACTGCTCCTTAGAATAGCAACAAGAAGGGAAATTATTTCCCTATAGCGCTTCAAGCGAAGGAATGAAAAGTAGGAACGAGAAGTAAAATAATAATAATAACTATGAAGAAGGCGTAAGAGAAAAAAAAATGAGAGAAAGGGGTGACCGATCGCCCATTTTGCAGCTATGGTGGGTGTACAATGATAAGGGGAACTCCCTTCGCTGTAGGCAACGTGTCGTCTGAATATTGGTGTGTGGGTTACGGCGTTGCGTTGTCATTTCACCCACCCAGTCTGAGAGAGACATCACCCGCGCGTCTTTTTGCACGCGTGCTCCTTCGGTTAAATGAGCGCATTTTGACGGCAATTGGAAGTGACCTTCCTCCACCGCTGGATAGCAACACCGCAAAATTCTACCAAAAGCAAAATGACTGCATTGTGATGGAAGTAAGTGAGTTATTTCCCGACTCCACTGCATGCGTATTTGGATGACTCTGTGTGTGAGCACGAAAGCAATGATACTGTGTTGTGTTTTTCATGTTTTGGATTTGGTTTTTATCAGCTGCTGCCCCACCCCCACAGTCTACCAGTTTGCCTTATGATTTGTATTTCGCTTTTATTATCTTTATTTCTTTTATTTTTTTTTCTCCTCGTACTGCTGTTAAATTTGCCACATTCACTGGACAAAGATTGTCAAGGGTAGGATTTTAATAATGGCGTGGACGTGCTCGGCGTTGTCAAATGCTTCAATGGTTCAGAATCTGGAAAAGGCGGGGCTTCTGTCTACACCGGTGATCATTAGATCCCTTCAACGCGTAGATCGCGGGTGGTTTGTACCGGACAATTTACAGACCTCAGCGTACAGGGACGAGCCGCTGCCTCTCGGGCATGGTGCCACCATCAGCGCCCCTCATATGCACGCCATCATGCTTGAGCTTCTCGCTCCCTTCCTATTACCGACGGCTAGAGGTTCATCCAAGACAGTTCTAGATATTGGCAGTGGCAGCGGTTATCTTACGGCTGTCCTCGCTGACATCTGTGGCGAGGGTTCGCGGGTGGTTGGTGTGGAACATGTGCAAGAGTTGCAGCAGCGTTCATCAAGAGTGGTTCAGCAACGTTTTCCGAGCTGGGTGAGTGAGGGTCGTATTACTTTTATCAAGGGCGATGGTAGAGGCATATCAAAGTTATTCTCTTCTCCGGTCATGTTTGATGTAATTCACGTCGGTGCGGCCGCCGCATCGGTTCCAAACGGTTACTTGGAGTCCCTAAAACCGGGAGGGTGTCTTGTGATTCCTGTTGGAAGGGAAGATGAGGTGCAACAGTTGCGTCTGTACACAAAGGACGACAGTGGGGTCATCACAACAAAAACCCATGGAAAGGTCAGCTTTGTTCCACTAACGTCGCTGAATCATCAAGAACAGCGCAGGCGAGGATGACAACAAATAGACGGAGGGATGGATCGCGTTCCTGATGATCGCTTCTTTTTTAACCCGCAATTTGTTCTTGGGGTTTACGTGTGTGTGTTCGTCTTTGTGTATGTGTGTATGTAAGTGTGTTTGTGCTTTTGGTTTTGTTTTTGCTTTTTCTGTTTTTGTTTTCCTTTAATTTACTTTTGCATGATCGTCATGTTCGGTATACATATTTTCTCCTCTCTCACACTTGGACGGTGCTGGAACTGCATGTATTTTATACGTGTTTGGCTGCATCTTCAAAAAGGGGTGCATTCTGTATTTCCGTCGTTTACTCTTTTTTTTTTGTCATTATTTTTCTTTCTTGTTGTTATTACTTTTTCTATGATGCATGTCTGCAAAAGGGAAGCAATGGACCGCGGCGACTTTGACTTTCCACCGGATCCTTCTGTGGAGGCGTTAGACTCCACGTTGGAAACCCTTAACAACGTTCCCCTTAGGGTGCTCTCCAACATGCCGATTGAGGAGCTGCCGCCCACCGTTGTGCCTGTAGATCAGCAGCGGCCTATTCGTCAGATGCTGCAGAGCAGCCGGAAGGCTCGGCGCGTAGGAAGGCTCCGGAAGCATGCACACGCTTCTCTTGATCCTGCACCAGACATCCCTGCAGCGCAGCCAGGCGATGCTGCAGAGAGGGGAGAGCCCACATCCTCGCCGAGACATGGCTTTGCCGGGCATAAGCGGGCTCGGTTTGACTGGAGTGAGGAGGAGCTTAGAGATTTCTACAAATTTCTCTCGCAGTACGGCACGGACTTCAACGCGATTGCCGTCATGTATCATGGCCGGTCGCGTGAGGACGTCAAACGCCTGTACCATCGAGAGCTGCGCAAACGGCGTGACGATGTCCGGGCGGCGCTGTCGTCGCGTGAGGAGATAGATTTGGGGACATTTACGGCGCGTTTGAAAAAGCGGGAGGAGCTTCAGCAGGCCCCGACGCGTCAGCTGGAGCAGGAGGAGGAGGAAGCGCTGCGCCTCATAGAGGCGGGAGCATTGCAGTTCCAACCAACATGCAAGGAGGGCGAGATCTCCGTTTTGGATGCCGTGAACAGCGACTTTGAGTTTGATTTCGTGGCCGCTAAAAGTCCGACGCCGGAAAAGACACAACCAGCGGGAGACGAGAAAGCGGTCTATGCTGGAAAGCATGACGATGACAAAAGTGGTTCGCTGGTCTTAAAAAGTGTGGAAACAGGCAGTGTAAGAAATACTGACAGCTGCGGTCCAGCGGAGACCACACTGCTGGATTCTCTTCTTCCGTCTGGACAAGATTTGGAAGACTTTTTATTTTGAGATGGAACAATGCGACCTTTTGCTCTCATTCATTGCACGTTGAACTGAGACTGATGCGCAACACTTGTATATTGCCGCTCATGACGATGGATATACATATGAATGCCTTGGTACATGTTTCATACGCATATTTTTGCGTTGCCTCCACCGCGTTTCTTTGGTTTTATCTTGTCTCTCTTCTTTTGCTTGAGCTGTTGCTTGAAGGGATAGGATGCAGCTCTGCTACTGTTGCCGGCATGCTTTCCCCACCTCGTCGCTAGCCCCATGCGTCTTTAGCGACATCATTGCTCATCGCTTCGAGGAGGTGCATAAGATTGTGGAGGAGATGGACACCACAACACCGGAGGAAACCCACCGGATCGCGCAGTTGCAGATGGCACTTCGGGAGTTGCACTCAGCCGTTCACCAAGAAATTAATGCCTTGAAGGAGCGGAAGGCAAGCCTGGAGGCCGCGCGGCAGAGGGATCGGGATCGGCAGGAACTGGAGTTGGGCGTCCAACCCCGCACGGTCCACCTGCAGTGCAGTAGCGCCCTGTCGAACACGCAACCCATGGGGTACAATTTGTCTCGGTCCAACTACCCCAAAATTGTTCCTCGGGCATCCTTCAACGGCACGGTTCCAACGTACAAACTACGAAAAATGAACTCTGCGCTGGAGTTGGTTTCTGCCAGCATATACTCTGTGATGGAAAGTCTGGCCATTCGAACCCGTGCCTCTGTGGCAATGTTGTGGATCCTACCGCCTGGTGTTGTGTCGACGGAGCTTGTGGCACCTTTTGTGGTGGGACGCGACATGTCAAAGCTCTGGAATACGGCACCGTATCGCGTGTCCGAGAACTCCATTCCGTGTCTTGTGAGTGAGGAAGGAATTGCACTGAACTTCAAACCAAAACCAGGGATAGGTGACAAAAATGCAACAGAAAATACCCCAATATTAGAGTTGATGGAGTTGCCAAACACCGCACAACTTATGGTCCCTGTTTTTACGAGATACGGCGAGGTTCAGCGTACTGTACTCGGTGTGGTACATCTGATAGGAAATCCGCTTTTTCCGTGTCCCTTTGGACTTCGTAATGAAGAAATGGCGGTCCAGACGGCTTCCACGTTGTCTGTCATACTATCGTCGTACTATGAGACAATGGGTGGGGAATGGGCCAACCGTATTTACGATCCATCCGTACTGATTAGTACCTCGGCGTATCAGGGGAAAATTGACATGCGGAGCATGGATAAGATTTATGACGATTTTCCCTCCCCATCAACTCTCATCTATCGCTGCAAGAATGAGAAGAAAGAGGAGGGTGACTCTCGTGATGTGATAAAGGCCTTGAGGTACGCAATGACGAGGCGTGCGGTGCCGCGGGAAACGGTGTGGTCTGTCAAGGATATGCATCGTTTCGCTAAGAACATGGAGCAAAATTGGATCTTTGTTTTGAATGCCAACACTGAAATGGAAACAAAGCTGGCAAGCCTGGAGGACAAGGTGCTACGATGCAAGATGGAAAAGGAATACCGTCAAAAAGGTTCTCGACATGACTTGTCTTCATCCACAGCTAACAACAGTTTATCTGTTGGGCGTCCGACGATCACTTCTTTGACTTCAGTGGTAACGTTGCCGCTGGTGCCTGAGAGGAAAAAAGTTTTGAAACCAGAGGAAGTGAGCGAAATTGAGATTACTGCATTGCGGCGTTTGCAAAATATGGGGGTTGACACCGCTCCCTTTCAGACAACAAACGAGGCATAGCTATGTATAGTGCATTCGACAGGTGGAGGCAAGCTATAGGCATATACAACATCACTGTTGCTGCCTTTTTTTTTTTCTTTTATTCATTCGCATGAATAAACACACACACACACACAGACAAGAGGACAGAGTGACTGTGTGTGTGGGGATGCTCTCTGATATCTTGCTCCCTTCAAAACATTTGCTGTCACTTCTTCTTGCTCGTTTTTGCATCTATCTGGACGGGAGGGGTCCGTTTTTTTTTTATTTGTATTGTTGATGTTGATGAGGATGATTATTGTGTCTCTTTGGGTCCCTTTTTTCTTCCTTGGCATTTATCTTTCATGTAGAGGGAGTGGGGGTAGGAAGGGGGATAATGGCGGCAATGCGAAACCCGCACACGCCTCCACAAAAACAAAGAGACTGGCGATATTACGCTACTAAACTATTTACCATTTTGGTTTTGTCTTGTGTGGTAAAGGTCTCTCGCCTGGTTGAGGTGATGCTGCGTTCCCGCAACATCATTCAACACGTCATGTGGATCTCCTATCTGTGCTACGCCGTATTCTTTGCTCTGTGGATCTACACCGCTCTTTTTGTTCAGCCCCGGCACCCTAATTGGAGCGAAACGCATAAATGCTTGTTGCACAGTGCCACGGGTGCGGCGACAGCCGGAGGAGTTCTCTGGAATATCGCAATGTGGCCGGTCTATCACATCTGGACGATACCGCTTGGAATTGTGGTGTTGGTGCTGTTTCTTGACATCGTCGAAGTCATCCCGTGGCCTTTGCAGAAGCTTAAAAGATGATGCTGCTTAATTTGAAAGTTGTGGGGCACGTTGTTGCTAGAGTTTTGTGGCCTCTGTCTGGTCCATTGCGAACTGAGAGACTCCGTGTGGGTACGTCAAAGAGGAGGGTTAGCAATCCGCTTCCGCTCGCGGTGATGCTTTGTTGCCGGGTGTGCGCGGTTTTGCTTACTTCCACGCACTATTTAGGTATCCGCGTTTTTTCCCCGTTTTTTACTTCTCTGCTTATTGTTTTTACACATATATATATATATATATATATATATATATATATGC